GTAATGTTCTCTAAGGTACTTAGTATTAGGTACCTAATATAGTAGCTCTGTATCTGGCATAGAGCAAAGATTCAATTTACATTAGATATTATTTAGAGTATTTTGGGCATTTAACCATTCACTTAAATAAATATTTATTAACAATAATTAATTAATTAATAATAAATATAATAAATATTGTGAATAACCATTTATTCACTTAATATTCACTTGCATAAATATCAACAAATATGTATACTCTGGTGGGGAGAGACACATGTAACCAAACAAATATATAATATAATATCAAGTACTGGTGAGTGCTAAAGAAAAATCAAGGGGATAAAGGGAATAGAGAAGGATGAGGGGTGTAGATGCCTGGACAGGTAAGAAGACCACCCTGAGGATGTGACACTGGGGCAGACACCTGAGGGCAATGAGGGAGGGAGGCATAAGAATGTCTTGGGAAAGAATATTCCAGGCAAAGGAAGTAGCAAGGCCAGAGGGAGCATTGCTGGCCTGCTTGAGGAAGAGCAAGGAGTGAGTAAGGAGAGAGTGGGAAGAGTAGAAGCCGGAGAGGTGGATGGGACGCAGAGAGGATATGGAGGCAGGCCAGATAGCAGGGCCAGAGAGCTTGTGCAGGTCTTTGGAGTTTCTATAACACTTGGCTGGATTTAGTAGCAACTACTATATTTTTCGGTCTGTAAATCAGAGTCCAAGAGTAAAGAGTAACTGCCTTCACTTTTTTTTTTTTTTTTTTTTTGAGACGGAGTCTCATTCTGTCGCCCAGGTTAGAGTGCAGTGGCATGATCTCAGCTCACTGCAATCTCCACCTCCTGGATTCAAGCGATTCTCCTGCCTCAGCCTCCCGTGTAGTTGGGACCACAGGAATGCGCCACCACGCCTGGCTAATTTTTGTATTTTTAATAGAGATAGGGTTTTGCCATGTTGGCCAAACTAGTCTCGATCTCCTGACCTCAGGTGATCTGCCCGTCTCAGCCTCCCAAAGTGCTGGGATTACAGGTGTGAGCCACTGTGCCCGGCCTGCCTTCATTTTTCTAGAGCTAAACTAGAGTTAAACTAAAGTGTCAGTCTGCTCACTGGCTGAAAACTGGGCTAGTCAATTCTAGGCCTTCTGAGTCATTTCAAAATTTTTTGATCATTTCACATTGAAATTCAACCAATTCTGAAAAACATCTAAGGAGATGCCTCCTGCTTTGCTTCTCTTCAGGATAGCATCTCTGTTCCCAGATGTTTAAGGAACATTACATCTTTAGAAAGGAAGGGTATTGATCTGGCTGACATTCCTTACCTGTCTACACTGTCATTTGCTAAATGTATGATCCTGTCTGGCCTTCAAATGTTATCTCTCCAGGCTGGCATGTGTTGAGATGCCCATGTCCCCATCTGGTCTTGGGGCACAACCTCTTGTCATACCTTGTACCATGCTGTCCCCTTGGCATAACCCCTTAGTTATCTGGTTTTGTCTTTCAGGTGATTTTTGTGGCCCTCTGAAGATGAGGAGAAATCTAGAAAAGTCCATCTGTTCTCTTAGCCTGCAGGCTTCTGAGGCCCAGTTGCATCCCATACAGGCTTCTGTGCTGAGCCACAGCAAACTGGCATGGAATTTCCATGAGATTCAGCCTCCAGATTTCAGATGGGAAGCTGGCACAAATCTCCTCTACCCTCAGATCACCCTAAACTTATCTAGACATCTGGAGCTAATCCTAGATAAGGGAAGATGAGATATTTTGTTCTTTCTTTAGTTAAGATAGATAATTTTAATCTTATTTTCCTTGCCCTCATATTCCACCCCAGCCTGGAGGATTTTTATACAGCGTGAGGAGAAGCAGTTGGAAGCAGCAAATCTTTTCTGATTTACATTTGGACCAAGGCTCTTGAATATAGAACAAAAAATGTTGGACTACCTTTGTCCTCTAGTTCTGCCCCTCTGAGGTGACAAGACTCCCATCCAATGACCTGCATGGGGATGGTCACAGGGACAGAAAAAGATCTGTGGGGAAAAAACATTGGCTAATATTTCACAATATCATATTGCCACATTTGTAACTATTTACACTTTGTAAATGTACCTGGTCAAGAAAAAGGGTAAGAACAAGAGAGAGAACTGTTCACAAGTACATTCTGGTGGACTGGGTCAGTTCATGGACTGTATCAATCAGTGTCCAATCAGGACACAGAAACCACACAGTAAATCAAACAGGAAATATTTAATAAATAGAATGATCAATTATAACAGGTGATTAATTTTAAAAGTATAGGGGGAACTCTAAAGAATACTCAAAAGTACCGAGGGAGAATATCCAACGAAGGACAAACTTGGAAGTGGGAGTGCAGGGAATTCTCTCTAAGGATGGGATTCAGATCTCATTGGAGAATGTATTGCTGTAGCCCCTGGATAATGAAGAAGTTGGCTGCATTTCCCTGAGCTCAGGCAGGGTCTACATTCACCAGGTAGAGGCCAGAGGGCAGAAAACATGGATTGGAGCGGCCACAGGAAACACCTTCCCAGAATGCAGGTGGGCTGAGGCTCGGCAGCCAACTGTGGGGATGGCTGCAAGACTTGCTGGATCCACCAGCAGAGATGCCAGTGAAACCTGACAGAAGTGAGTGCTACTGCATGTCCCCCTCCAAGGCATCTTTGTCAGTGGCAAAATAAGTACAAGAAAAAGAAAACAGAAAGACTAGAACTAGGAATAGAAGCCCCTTCCTCCTGTAGTTTCCCTCCAATGCTCTCTACCGAGAATGTTTAGCATTGTGCCAGCGGCAAAGATGAAATCCTTACAGGGTCTGGTTCCATTAACAGAGAGGAAGTAACGAAAGATGAATTTGGAGCTGAGAGGCAATAAATTGATAACCAATGTATGGATGAAATGTAGTGTTAAATGTGATCAACTGGGTGTTAGCAGGGCCTCCAGAAGAACAATTGCGAGATGAGTACCAGGCATTGTAGCAAGTAGTAATGATATAACGAATACTCTGCCCTCCTGGAGTTTGCATTTGGGGTTGGAGCAGGCATAGGTTGACTGACAATAAATAAGTAAACAAACAAACAAAAACACAGATCATAATTGGTGCCATGACAAAAGTAAATAGAGAACTATGATAAAGAATAAGAAGGGACCCTTTTTATCCAGGCACAGTTTTTCATGTCTATAATCCCAGTACTTTGGGAGGCTGAGATGAGAGAATTACTTGAGTCCAGGAGCTGGAGACCGGCCTGGGCAACACAGGGAGACCTCATCTCTAAAAATTGTTAAAAAATAGCCAGTGCATGGTGGTGGTCCCAGCTACTCAGAAGGCTGAGATAGGAGGATCACTTGAGCCTAGGAGGTTGAGGCTGCATTGAGCCTGAGCTGTGATCACCCCACTCCACTCCGTGGCCTGGATGACAGAGACCTTGTCAAAAAAAAAAAAAGAGCGATAGAGAGAGAATAGGTAGACATGGAGGACCTCTCTGAAGTGTTAGCAAAAAATTCTGAATGATCTTGAAATGGTTGAAAAAGATTACTAGGTCTCTTGACCAGTGCACCCTTCAAGTTATTCTCTGCCTATCATTTTAGTTTATTTTTTTTTCAATTTTTTTTGCTATATTTGAGCTATTTTATAACTCTGTAAATTGCAGATAATTGATAGCAATGCAAATGAATCCTGTCCTTGGACATGCAAATGAATTTTGTCCTGTGAAAGTACAATTGATCTCCATTCCCCTACCCCTCTGTGGAAGAAGTCAGTTTTCCATATATTAAGCAAATTCATTTTAAGATGCATGATGGCCTATCTGTGTAACTGCTCTTTGGATCCTCCTTTGAATCCATTGTAACATCTTATGAGTTCCTTCATTAATTAGTGAGTTAAGTTAAATTTTTGACATGTTCATTTTATATTCATAAAAGAGTCATAACTTACCTTTAAAAAATAATTACAGTGAGCTATGACCATGCTACTGCATTCCAGCCTGGGCAACAGAATGAGACCCTGTCTCAAAAAAAAAATCACCCTTTAACACATTTAAATTCAATCTCCCAAAGACTCCAGTGTGAAGGGTACTCAGCCAACATTCACATCATATCGGATTGAATGAGCTGAACAGACTGTCTACTCCTTGATTATTTGTGTATTAACACATGCCAAAAATCACCTTTGCAAGATGGGGTCAAGAGACAACACAGGCTTTCAATTTAGAGATCTGACATGCTTTTATCAAGAGTGTTCATGAAACCAAGGACACATTGATTTTTCTAACATTGTTGGCAGTTAAAAGAACCTTTAACAGGACTCATATATTTCTGAGCTCACAGCAGGGTCACATTCATAGAATGTTAAAATAGCATAGAAAACTTAGAAATCATGTAGTTCAATTCCCTCATTTGATAGACGAATTAGTCAGGCCATGAAAGCCTGGGTGACTTGTTCAAGATCATCAACTAATTTAATGGCAAGCTGAGATACAAACTGTTCTCTTCCTCTTAGTCCTGTACTTTCTTACCACCAGGATGTTGGAGCCAACCAGAATTTCAAAAATGATTCCTAACAATGGCCTCCACCTCTTCTTTCCCCCTTTATACATAATATTCACTCTGAAAAGAATGGGAGTGTGTGTGTCAGTGAGGGATGGTATATGTTAAGGAAAGAGTTTTGGATCCAAAAACAGTACTAGTTTTTCAACAAGTTTGACTATGTATTTGTGTTTCTGAGTTTCTGTTTCTTCAACAGCAAACTGGGCATAGATTCTTATTAAGTAATTATTAAATATTAATAAACTGCATAATTAAGATTACTAGGATTAATAATAATCTATATATAAGCTTGCACATAGTAGGTAAAAGCCATAGCTAGTATTAAATGGTAACTCCCCTCCCCCAAATCATCTATATGCCATAAAAACCCTTCAGTATTTGAGGAGTGTGCAGTTGACACTACTGACACTTTTATAATAAATTAGCATTTTATGTTTAAATGAAAGTTATACACACACACCCACACAGCTGCGTGTTTAAAAAAAAAATCTGTCTTTATTGAATGAACAATCCACCAATGTTAGTCAACTCTATACAAATCAATATTCTCTCCACCTCCCACTGTTTCATTTGGATGCTTGAAAACAATTCTTATGTCTTTAGACACAATCTGCTTACTTTCAAATTGCCTAAAAGGAAACATAAAACATTGTATTTTAAAAAGTACAATAATGGGCCCTGAAGAACGAAGCAATCCAAGTGAAGGCACAGTTCTGTATACCAGATCTGCTGCATAGGTGAGGGGAGGCTAAGCGTGGTGATGACCCAAGGCTTATCCTCATCAGTAAAAATGACCAATATTTGCTTAATACTTTACAGTGAACACAGGGTTTCCCTCCCCTGCCCTCCCTTCTCCCCCTCCCCCCAATCCCCCTCCCCCCCCTTCCCTTCCCTTTTGCCCTTCCTTTCCTTTCATCCCTCCCTCCCCGTCCCTCCCCTCCCCCTCCTTTCTCTCTCTCTCTTTCTTTTTTGAGACAGGGTTCACTCTGGTCACCCAGGCTAGAGTGCAGTGGCATGGTCTTGGCTCACTGCAGCCTCCATCTGCAGCTAGAGCAATCCTTCTACCTCCGCCTCCTAGTAGCTGGGACTACAGGTGCAGGCCACCAGGCCTGGCTAATTCGTTGTATCTTTTGTAGAGATGGGGTGTCACCATGTTGCCCAGGCTGCTCTCTAACTCTTGGGCTCAAGGAATCCTCCCCAGGGTTTTCATTGTATTAGTATGTTCTCACACTGCTAATAAAAACATACCCAAGACTGGGTAATTTATAAAGGAAAGGGGTTTAACTGACTCACAGTTCACCATGGCTTGGTGGGGGAGCTCAGAAAACTGACCATCATGGTGGAAAGGGAAGCCAATACACCCTTCTTCACATGGAGGCAGCAAGGAGAAGTACCAAGCAAAAGGGGGAAAAGCCCTTTATAAAATCATCAGATCTCATGAGAACTCACTCACTATCATGAGAACAGAAGGGGGATAACTACCCCTATGATTAAATTACCTCCTACTGGATGCTTCCCATAACACATGAGGATTATGGGAACTACAATTCAAGATGAGATTTGGGTGGGGACACACCCAAACCATATCATTCCAGCCCTGACCCTTCCCAAATCTCATGTCCTCACACTTTAAAACACAATCATACCCTTCCAACAGTCCCCCAAAGTCCTAACTCATTCAGATATTAACCCAAAAGTCCAAGTCCAAAGTCTCATCTGAGACAAGGCAAGTCCTTTCCACCTATAAGCCTGTAAAATCAAAAGCAAATTAGTTACTTCTTAGATATAATGGAGGGAGTTACAGGCATTGGGTAAATACACCCATTCCAAATGGGAGAAACTGGCCAAAATGAAGGGGCTACAAGCCCCACATGAGTCTGAAACCCAGTAGGGCAGTCATTATACCTTAAAGTTGCAAAATGATCTCCTTGGACTCTATGTTTCACATCCAGGTCATGCTAATGCAAAAGCTGGGCTCCCACCTCTTTGGCAGCTATGCCCCTATGGCTTTGCAGGACACAGCCCCCCTCCCAGCTTCCTTCACAGGCTGGTGTTGAGTGTCTGCAGCTTTTCCAGGTGCACAGTGAAAGCTGTCGGTGGATCTACCATTCTGGGGTTTGGAGGACAGTGTCCCTCTTCTCACAGCTCCACTAGACAGTGCCCCAGTGGAGACTCTATGGGGCTGCAACCCTACATTTCCCTTCTGCACTGTCCTAGCAGAGGTTCTGCATGAGAGATCTGCTACCACAGAAAACTTCTGCCTGGACATCCAGGCATTTCTATACACACTCTGAAATCTAGGCAGAAGTTACCAAACATGAATTCTTGACTTCTGTGTACCCACAGGCTGAACATCATTTGGAAGCTGCCAAGGCTTGGTGCTTGCACCCTCAAGCCATGGCCCGAGCTGTACCTTGATCCCCTTTAACCACAGCAGGAACACAGGGCACCAAGTCCCAAGGCTGCACAAAGCAGCAAGACCCTGGGCCTGGCCCACAAAACCATTTTTTCCTCCTAGGCCTCTGGGTCTGTGATGGGAGGAGCTGCTGTGAAGCCCTCTGACATACCCTGGAGACATTTTCCCCACTGTCTTGGGGATTAACATTTGGCTCCCGGTTACTTAGGCAAATTACAGCAGCTGGCCTCAATTTCTCCTCAGAAAATAGGTTTTTCTTTTTTTATCACATTGTCAGGCTGCAAATTTTCCAAACTTTTATGCTCTGCTTCCCTTTTAAACATAAGTTCCAATCCCAAACCATATAATTTGTGAATACATAAATCTGAATACTTTTAACAGCACCCAAGATACCTCTTGAATGCTTTGCTGCTTTGAAATTTCTTCTGCCAGATATCCTAAATCATCTCTCTCAAGTTCAAAGTTTCACAGATCTCCAGGGCAGGGGCAAAATGTCACCAATCTTGCTAAAACATAGCAAGAGTCACCTTTATTCCAGTTCCCAACAAGATCATCTCCATTGAGGACCACCTCAGCCTGGACTTCATTGTCCATATCCCTATCAGCATTTTAGTCAAAGCCATTCAACAAGTCTCTAGGAAGTTTCAAACTTCCCTACATTTTCCTGTCTTCCTATGAGCCCTCCAAACTGTTCCAACCTCTGCCTGTTACCCAGTTCCAAAGGTGCTTCCACATTTTTGGGTACCCTTATAGCAGCACCCCACTCCCAGTACCAATTTACAGTATTAGTCTGTTCCCATGCTGCTAATAAAGACACACCCGAGACTGGGTAATTTATAAAGGAAAGAAGTTTATTTGACTCACAGTTCAGCATGGCTGGGGAGGCCTCAGGAAACTGATCATCATGGTAGACAAGGAAGCCAACATGTCCTTCTTCACATAGAGGCAGCAAGGAGAAGCGCTAAGCAAAAGGGGGAAAAGCCCCCTATAAAACCTTCAGATCTTGTGAGAACTCACTTACTATCACGAGAACAGCATGAAGGTAACTGCCCCCATGATTAAATTACCTCCCACTGGGTCCCTCCTACAACACGTGTGGATTATGGGAACTACAATTGAAGATGAGATTTGGGTGGGGACACAGCCAAACCATGGCATTCATATATATAATTTAAAAAGTATTCTTACAGAACCAAAGAAAGGCTGATATATACTTCTTGTGGCAACAGAAACAGAAGTAGGGAAGACTATTCAGACAGATTGGCGCTCTAGAGTATTAAATTTACTTTATTGCTGCATTAATTTGCTAGGGCTGCTGTAAAAAAGTATCACAAATTGGGAGGCTTAGAACAACAATAGGAACTAACTGTCTAGTAGTTCTAGAGGCCAGAAGTCCAAAATCAGGGTGTCAGCAGTGCCACAGTCCTGTGAAGGTGTTAAGAAAGGATCTGTTCCAGGCCTTTCTCCTAGCTTCCAGTAGTTCCTTGACTTGTGGCAGCACAACTCCAATCTTTACATGGTATTTTCCTTGCATATATATATATATATTTATATTTCTGTGTGTAAATTTCTCCATTGTATGAGGCCACCAATCACACTGGATTAGGGTGCACCCTAATGACCTCATCTTAACTTCAGCATGTACAAAGACCTTATTTCCAAATAAGGCCACATTTATAGTCACTGAGGGTTATATGAATTTTGGGGACACATAATCAACTGGTAAGAATTGCCATCTCCTTCTTTCTTTTAACGTTGCCAAACACACTGGTGGCCAACAGCACTCACTCACTCATTCATTCATTCATTAAATAAACATTTGCCTACATCAGGCTCTGTTCTGGTGTTGATGCAAAAAATAAAAACAAAACAAAACTGAATACAGACCCTGTCCTTGAGAAATCACACTTCGGAGGGAATAGGAGGCACATTATGATGATGATAAGTACTATTATTGAGTTAGTATTGCTAGGTATGGGCACTTTTCAACTAATTTTCACAGTAGTGTGATAAGTGATGTATCAGAAACATACGTGGAGAACCCAGGGAGGTCCTAAATTTGCCCTAGGGATCAGGAATACTTTCAGAAGTTAGTTATAATTTCATCGGAGTCTAAAGAGGTGTGCAGAAATATCCCAGGTAGCTCAAAGGCGGTTATCTTGAGTACCGGATTCCAAAGAAGAATATTTTATAGAGGAAAAAACAGCAAAGGTTAAGAGACAAATTGTAAACCCCAAGAGGACTGGAGTCTGTGTCTATTTTATTAAGTATCTCCTGTATCTCTAGTGCTTTGAACAGTGCTTAGTTCACTCAAAAAGTAATCATTGAATGAATTTAAGGGCATCCTATATCTAAGGGATGGCATGGCCTGCAGTTCACTGTCGCTGGAAAAGTAGACAAACGTCCAGTCTCAAAGAGACCGGTAAACTACATTAAATGTAACAGATTAGGGGTGAAACGTTGATGATATATATCGCTAGTATTAAAAAATTCCAGGAAGTTCAGGAATGCCTGGCATCTGTCCTGCCAATTACCCTTTTCCCCAGAGCATGTACAAGGGGGAGGAGGCACCCAAGGGCCAGGAGAGTGGAGGGGCACAGCTCCACAATCTCCAAAGTAGGGTTCTCTGGCAAGCACATGGTTTGGACTTGAAATCTACGTGGAGCCTCCCACTCTCCTCCTTCCACTCCATCCTCCCCTCACTCTCCGCCCGACTCCACCTTTGGCTCCTGAAAGACACCGGACAATTTCCAGGCCTTCCCCAAATCCCACGGGAGGAATCACCTACCGCGCTTCGGCCCGCGGGCCCCGCCCCCTTACCCTCTGGAGCGCAGCGAGAGCGCACGCGCGCCTCTCTGAACAGCGCGCGCGCCCGCGAGCTCCCCGCATCCCCGTGCTCATCCGGGTCTCACCGAGCCTCGGCCAATAGTGCCCGCTCACGGCCCCTGGGGGCGGGGCTAAGCCTTCCCTCACAAGGGGCCTGTGGTCAACACGGTTTGCCTCCAAGGGACGGCCCGCCAGTCGGCACAGGAAAGGGGCAGAGGCAGTGAGCTCAGCGTGTGGGCGAGGGTCAACAGTTCTGGGATCAAGCGGCTGCCGCCCCTCCAAAAGCGACAGAAGCGCAAGCAGATTCCCCCTCCGAGTCAGTGTAGTAAACACACTTCAGAAACGTGAGGTGCCGGTGGTCACGTGGGGAGCGCGCCCTCCAATGAGGAGCCGGGGGCGGGGCCGAGGCCGCTGACGCGGCGGCGGCGGCAGAGTCACCCGGGCAGCCTCGGGACCGGTCACCGGCCGGCAACCGTCCAGCGGCCTCGACCACCGCCTCTCGCCTCCGTCCCCGGTCCTTTCTCCTGGGCCGAGAGACAGCGTCGCCGACAGGGGCTCATTCCCCTTCGGTTCTCCTCGGTGACTCATCTCGGGCGGGCCGTTTTGTCTTTAGGAGCCGCCTTGGTGGGGCGAGGTTTCCGTGACGAACCTCCTGGGGCCGTCCGTGCCAGCTCGGGCCGTCGTGGCGGCTCGAGCTCGTGGAATTTGCTCAGGCTCCGGAGGTCCGAGGCCCTCGAAGTTATGCGTCGCCTCCAGGAGGTTGCGGCGGGCGCGGGCTGCTAAAGGGCGTCAAACCCGGACTCCGCCGACTGGGCAACCTCCATTCATCTTCTCACTGCGCCTCCAGCGCCCCCGCCTTCTCCAGTCCCCTCCTTGGAGTCATTTTTTCCTGTTCCCCCTCTACTGCCCTTTCCTTACTCCTCGGGTGAGGCAATTCTCTTGGAAGCGAAGGTGTCGGCTATGAGCCGGAGCCTCCTTCCTTGAATTTCTCCGTGGAGGACCCGCCGCGCGCCCCCGGCATGGGGGTGAACGCAGTGCACTGGTTCCGAAAGGGGCTCCGGCTCCACGACAACCCCGCCCTGAAGGAATGCATTCAGGGCGCCGACACCATCCGCTGCGTCTACATCCTGGACCCCTGGTTCGCCGGCTCCTCCAACGTGGGCATCAACAGGTGGCGGTGAGTCACAAGCCCGTGGGAAATGGATTTGGGTGTTTAATGAATCTGATGTTAATGAATTCCATGCGATCCGCCAAATCTGAGAATTTAGACGTGGGACTGCCTTCCTTATACCGCTAACGAATTGTAGGTGCCCTAAGTATTAAATAGAATTGACTTAATAGTTCTCTGGCCAGAGAGTACTGACGACCTGAAACACTCGGCCTTCATCCGTGAGTTAGTTATGTGTCTTTCTGTGCTAACGGGAGCTCTTCCCCTGAATTTGTGGAGAATTCTTAGTGCTGGAGTTAAAGAAACACCCTTCCTGTCCTTAGTGGCCTGTGTATATGGATTCCCTTGGCCTGTTTGTGGCATTCGAAAGGATTGTGATGTTTCCTGTTTACATTTGTATCTAGGTAACTCATAGTATGGAGAAAAATCATTCATTCAGTACAGCTGGCTCCAGATCCAGTTTTCTTCCACCTTGAGGTTACTGAGGGAAAAGCAAGGGAAACAGCATTATCTGGTTTCTCTGCTCGGCTCTTTTTCTCAACTCCTCCTTGTGGTTGCCGAGACAAAGCACAGTTTTTCTTTCTAGGCAAGTTGTAGTCCTTCTAGGGATCAGAGCACAAAGAAATCTTAGAGATGCTTTATGATCTTCCTGAAACACCGGGCTACGTGATCGTTGGGCCCCCTGGTGGAAATGAAAGCATTAGCTCAACAGAGAGACTCTTGATCACTTACCATGTGCCAGGCACTGATTTAAATGCTAGGGATATAGCAGTGAGTGAAAGACAAAAAGTCATGTCTTCAAGCAGAAAGTAAAATATGTAGTATTTTAGGTGGTAAGTGTTGTGGAGAAAAATAGAGCAGAGTAAAGGGATAAAGAATACAAGGGTAGGGATGAGGTTGCAGTTTTAAATATGATGATCAGGGGAAAAGTCACAGAGAAGGTGACAGTTGAGCATACCTGAAGGAGGTGGTGGGATGCAGATATCTAGGGGAAGACCATTCCAGGCAAAGGGAGGAGTAAGGGAAAAGGCAGAGATATGCTTGACCTTTGGAAAGAACAGCAGAAGAATCCAGTATGACTGGAGCAGAATAAGTGAGGGAAAAATAGTAGACGATGAGGTCAGAGTTGACTTAGGGCCAGATTGAAGAGAGCCTTATAAGCAGTTTTCAAGATTTGGGTTTTTACTCAGTGAAGTGGGAATAACTGCAGGATTATGAGCAGAGAAGTAATGTGATCTGACATAAGTTTGAAAAAGAATTTTTCTGCTTGTTCTGAGAACAAATCTGAGAATTTCTCTGCTTGTGGTTCTGAATTGGGGAGTGGAGGTGGACAAGAAGCAGGAAGTCCAATTAAGAAGCTGTTGGCATTCATCCAGGTGAGAGATGAGAAGGCTTGAATCATAGTGATAATTGTGGATGTGGTGAGAAAAAAACAGATGCTGGCTATATTATGAACGCAGAATACACAGTATTTGTTGGCAGATTGGATATGTAGTGTGAGAGAAAGAAAAGGAGTTAGGCTGGGTGCAGTGGCTCATCCCTGTAATCCCAGCACTTTGGGAGGCTGAGGCCAGGAGTTCAAGACCAGCCTGGCCATCATGGCAAAACCCTGTCTCTGTTAATACTGAAAATATAAAAATTAGCTGAGCACAGTGGTGCATGCCTGTAATCTCAGCCGCTCAGGAGGCTGAGGCATGAGAATCACATGAACCTAGGAGACGGAGGTTGCAGTGAGCTGAAATCGTGCCACTGCACTCCAGCCTGAGTGACAGAGTACTCTGTCTCAAGAAGAAAAAAAAAAAAAAAGGAGTTATAGTTTGGTGCTATATAAAAAGCACCAAAATTCAGTGCTTTTTATGTAGTGGCAGCTTACTGTTTGAGAAAATTTTTGGCTTGAGAAACTGGAAGGATGGGGCTTCAATTTGCTAAGAAAGTGAAGCCAGCTGGAGAAGCCATTGGGAGGGTGATTGGAGTTCTCTTCCATTAAGTCATTAAGTTTGAGATGTATTTTACACATTCAAATGGAGATAGCAAATAGGCAGTTGGATGTGTCTGGAGCTGCAGACAGAGATCCAGGCAGGGAGTATAAATTGGAGAATTCATGAGATTATAGATAATATATAAAGCCGTGTATTCATCCATCTATTTATTGAACAAATATTTGTCAAGCACTTACTATATGCCAGGCACTGTTTTAGGTGCAAGGGATCCAGTATAAACAAAACAGTCCCCGATTCTCACCCTGTTGGAGCTACATTCTAGTGGAGCCGTTAGACTGACAGCATTAAGAAAAGGAGACAGACGAGATGCAAGTGGTGCAAGGGCCGAACCTTGAATACTCTTAATGTTTATAAATTGTGGAGCTGTGAAAGAATCAGCATATGAGACTGCGAAGGAGCCACTAGTAATGTAAGACGAAAACCCAGAAGAGTATGGTGTCTTAGAAGCCAAGTAAAGAAAGTGTTTTGGCCAGGCATGGTGACTCATACCTGTAATCCCAGCGCTTTGGGAGGCTGAGGCAGGCAGATCACTTGAGGCCCGGAGTTTGAGACCAGCCTGGCCAATATGGCAAAACTCTGTCTCTAGTAAAAAAAAAAAACATCAAAAAATCAGCTGGGCGTATGGCACCTGCCTGTAACCCCAGCTACTCAGGGAGGCCGAGGCAGGAGAATCACTTGAACCCAGGAGCAGAGGTTGCAATGAGCCGAGATCGTGCCACTACACTCCAGCCTGGGCAATAGAGCCAGACTCTGTCTCAAAAAAAAAAAAAAAAGAAAGTATTTCAAGGAAGAGAGAGTGTTTTACTTATGTCAGATGCTACTGATAGGTCAAGTAAGATGAGAACTGAAAAATAAAAATTGGATTTAGCAATTTGAAGTCATTTGGAATTTTATCTGGAGTGGTTTTGGTAGTGTCAGAGGCAAAAGTCTTTTTGGAATCACTCATAGTACCAAATTCAGTGCTTTTTATGTAGTAGTAGCTCAATTACTGTTTGCTGAATATAGTGATATCTTAGAGTCAATAATTTTGTATTTAAACAGCTTTATTAATTTACTTATTGACTATGGGATAATGCCCAAATTCCTTAGCCTGGCAAGATCTACCTTTTGGCTTATGTATTTCATTTTCTACTGTTTACAATATGTGATTTCAACTCTGGGGGGAAAACCTTCTTAGTTTACTTTAGAAACTATCTTGTATTTTCTTTGATCAACACTTTTTAGACTTTTGGATTTAACAGAAAAGCAAAATTTTAAATAGTTATTTTACCTAATAAGCACATTAAACAAAACTACTTTTTTATACTGCCATCCTTTCGTTTAAAAAGGATGTCTTAATATTTAAAAAAAAAAGTTTGGCTGAGCTCAGTCTCATGCCTGCACTCCCAGCTACTTGGGAGGCTGAGGCAGGAGAATCACTTGAGCCTAGGCGTTGGAAGCTGCAGTGAGCTATGAATGGGCTACTGCACTCCAGCCTGGGTAGAGACAGACCCTCTCTCTTAAAAAGCAAACAAAGAAACAACAACAACAAAAAATTTGAAGGACATTGTCTCAGAATACAATTTTTTGATTTGGATAAATTTATAAGCTTTATGACAATTCACATCTCTTAGAAAAATTATCCTATACAAAAACTTATATACTAATGTTCACAGAAGCATTATTCATAATAGCCAAAAAGTGGAAACAACCCAAATGGCCATCAATTGATGAATGGATAAACAAAATATGGTATAGTCATATAATGGAATATTATTTGGCCATAAAAAGGAATGAAATACTGATACATGCTACAACATGTATGAATGAACCTTGAAAAACAAACTAAATGAAAGAAGCCAGTCACAAAATTCCATGTATTATA